ATGGATGGATATAATGATGTCATGAGGTGCTGAACAGGTGACGTCTCACCTGTGTACCAACATGGAGGGACATAATGACGCCTCCTACCTAGACGGAGCTGCGCGGTGATCATGACGGTGTTCATCTGTGATTTCAACATAAATGTCTTTAAGATGGAACAACACGTCCTCAGAATGAGACACGAACCTGCTAATTAAACGTTCCTTTAAAGTTCCGTTTACAGCCCAGCAGCACGCTATAGGAACTGTCAGCTGAGACGGTTATTAACCTGTTGCAGGCTTCATCTTCTTAATGGCCACCTGCGTTCTCCAGATCTGAACATTCCTGTCCTGTCTCGTCCTGTTTCCTGACAGGAGGAAACCTGCTGAACTCCACAGGAAATATGTGACATGTGCAGCTTTTCTCTGCTCTGCTGACAGTCCCATGGAGCACTCAGACCAGAGATAATCCTGCTGGTGAAGTTAGAACATACACAGACTGACGGAGCCCTTAATTCACAATATGTTATCTTTGACCGACTCAGCACTTCAAGTGAATGAGCTCAGATCAGTGGCGGCTGCTCTTGAGCAAGGCACAGTCATGCAGTAGTGTGGAGACGCTGGGCAGAAACCAGCGACCCGAACATCTACCAGGAGCAGTTTATCCAGTAGAGGCCACAACATCCTGAACTTCAAGTCTGTTTGGGTCAAGTTTGAGAAATATATGAAACCCTGCAAGTTTGAGTCCCTGGAGCCCACATTTCCCATAATGCAACTGTGCAGCGTCCTCTGTTCACCCCAGCAGGCCTTTCAGTCAACAAACTCCAGAACCAGACTCTGACTTCAACATCAGGATCATTTTTTTCCCTCCAGACACAAAGAAGTTAAACGAATTTAGACCAACCAACATCACAGATTCCAGCAGCTTCACAGTCCAACAAAAAAACAAAACAAAACACAAAGAGAGATGCAGCCGAACACGACTGGACGCTGATTTATCAACACAAGTCGAACCGGGCCCTAATGACAAGAACTTATTTCTGCACAGATCCGGTATTTCTCCGCCTGCAGTCACTAAATGCAGCGTTTGAAGACAAACATTCGTCTCATTTCAGGCACAAACGGAGCTGGATGCTCCTCACATGAACCATCTGCTTCACAGCTGCTTACGTGGAGTCTTGGTTGAAGGAGGCGCAGCCAAACCGGAGCTCCGGTCCGTCCGGTCCAGACCCGCCCGCAGCCTCGGTGCTCTCCATCCCGATTCCCAGCGACCTCCTTCCCTCCCTCCGCCCTGGACTGGAGGCCTGGGATCGGCAGCACCTCGTCGCTCGATGTCGGCGGAAGACGGCTCCAATGTGGAAGAAATGTGGAGCCGCTGACGTGCAGGAGAACCGTCCGGACCAGAACCGCTGCTGCGTCCGCCGGAGATGAGCTCAGATTCGGTGTGAGTTCGGTTGTTTGGGCGGCCGCGGATCCAGAGCCGGAGGAAGGGGCGCAAGAAAGAAGCAAAACAAGAACAGCTGACGGCCTACGTCACAGCTCCGCCTCCTGCGATTGGCTGTCAGTCACCCACGTTGCGGCTGCTCTCGTTTTGATTGGTCAGTTGTAAAATGGAGTGTTTTTATTGGCTGGCTGGGCTCCGGTCCGCCCATTTATGTGACGTAGGAAGAAGCCAACCGTTCTTATTAAAAAGTTTAAAGTTGTTGTAGTTTCTGTAAACACAGAAAATCACAGGTTTGTAGAAATCTGCTCCCAAATGAAAGCAGGTGATTTACAGGTTTGTAGATTATTGATTTGTTATTGATTTATAGGTTTATAATTGATTGATTGCTATCTGATTTATAATTATAGGTGAATAATAAGTTTATAGATTATTGATTTCTAAGTGGTTTAGGGTCTATTGATTTACACGTGATTGATAGCTTATTTAATTAATATGTGATTTACAGGTTATTTATGAGTAAATTTCAGGTTTTTAGGTGATTAAATTATATTTGATTTATATTTGATTTATTTATTATTTATAGGTGATTTGTATTTTATTTAAAGGTGATTTATATGTGGTTTATATATTATTTATAAGTGATTTACAGGTTATTTATATTTTATTCATAAATGATTTACTGTGTGATTTATTTATTATTTACGGGTGACTGATAGGTGGTTTACAGGTAAACATGCTGAATATATCGGCGAGTCACCATCATCCCAGAGAAAGTCTTTCTTCCTGTTATTTATCAACTATTTGATGACGTTTTAAACATGTTTTTCTGTCCACAGATTAAACCCTCTTCAGGTTCGTCCCTTAATATTTTCACAATAAAATAACTGCTGTGGTTAGTAGAAGCAAACCTCAAAGATTCTCTGGTCTGTATTGAAGAGGAGATTATTCTAACATAAAATAAGTCCCATCCCTCACCGTATGACACCAAAACACTGCAATTAGACGTTTCAGCATAGATTCTGACAACATGATGGGATGAGACGGACATCCTATAATAATGGAAAGCTGAACATGCTTCTTTAGGACTCTGGCTGGATGTTTGGACTCATTGTTCTGCTGCACAGTTAATGTTGATGGCGCTGCATCGTGGAAAGCAATCTTTGTACATAATAATATATCAAACACATGTAGTAGGAAAGTCAGTAAGGATGCGATGATGAAAACACAACATGAAAACGTAAAAAGGAAGTCAGTAATCGTCCGGCCTTTTTGTTTATTTGAAAGATCATTTTTTTCCCTGACAGACAATACAAAGTGCAGACGCTGACAGTGTTTGACAAATACACAGATGAGCGGATGATGCGAGGATGAGTCGACCGTCGGACACCTGAAGGACTCAGTGCTGCAAAACAAGAGTACAAACATGTTAAATCGATGAATCCGACAGACACATGAGAATAGCTTATTGATTTACGACTGATCAATAAAACTGGGTGCAGAGTGCTTCCTTCACAATGTTGTCAACATGAAAAAACCTGCAATGAAATGTGAGCATCATGGATCTCTAGAATCAAACATCCTTCCCTTAGTGTTATTTCCATTTATATAACCTATCACCAAGCTTATGTTTCTGTGAATGTGTGATTTTTTTTCCCCTTAAATTACACTTTGTAGATTTTCTTTTGCATCTAGCAAGTAGCATTTGGTCAGTTTTTCTATCATGCTTCCAGATGACCTGTTTGAAAAGGACTGAGGACTTTGGTAAACACTCATGTTAAAGGGTTCATGTTTAAATGGCTGCATTAAATTACAACCACTCGTCTCATCTTTAAAGTCGGACACCTTAAAATCCCAGATGACCATGGCTCCGTCCAGACCCACGCTGCTGTACTTCTCCACCTTGTCTTTCTCCCCTGATACAACACACAGCTGCCTGCAGGACACAACGACAGGTTTCACAGATAACTGAGCAGCTTGCCGGAGCTGGTGCAGCGATGCATTCTAAGACAGTGAAAGAAAATACACCAAGACAGCTGCAAACAATTCTTGTACTGACAGATAACTTGCAGCAACACAGTCTGGAATTACAGTGTTTGGATACAGGCAGCGTGCTCATTGATGCTGCCAAAGACATCATGGCAGTCGACGGTTTAACAGGGACTTCTGCAGACAGTACTGCTTCTAAATGTGATGGCCACATGGTGGTGCAATGGGATCGAATCATCACCAGGAATATTCATGTGATCGCTCAGCTGGACGACGTGCAGCAAAGATCTCCAGAGCATATTTGAAAGGTGTTGCTTAAACTAAAAACCTCCTGAGGCAGCGATCCTTACGTGATGCTGTTCTGGTGACGGGTGTCCAGCTCGTTGGAGTCGTCGTCCGTGGCCCTCTTGTCCAGGTTGCGGAAGTGCTGCATGGCTGACATGCTGCCTTTGGACGTCTGTTTGGGGATGTCAAGTTTCTTGACAAACTCCAGAGCTCCAGGGCCTTTGTATGTGAACTGGTAGGGGCAAGAGTCATGACCCTGCCGATGATATGAGTAGAGAGAAAGTCACTCACACACATCTGAGCCTGGGAATATTCCAGCTCTATGATGCTAGCTGGATAACAGTCATAAAAAGCAAATTATTTTTGTGTTATTGGAAAAGAACTTTCTGACTGTGGGGTCAGTACCTTTAAAGGAGAAAGAAGAAGAAGCAGCTCAAGGCAGTGATGCGATGATTGTAGTTTAATCGTAGCAACTGGACTTGTTTGAGTTCCTTGAAGATGTTCCACCTCTCATCCACGAGTCTTCATCAGTTCTCACTGACTAGTTGGGAGTTCCAGATACTGATGTCCTTAAGGAGCCATTAACACCTGAGTTTCGGTTTCAATTGAGGGTTTGTTGTTCATTCCTGTTGCTGCAACAAACAGGGGGAGCAGTAACGACTCACATAACAAGAGGATGTCAGTATCTGGAACTCCCAACTAGTCAGTCGGACCTGATGAAGCCTCTTGGATGAGAGGTGGAACGTCTTCAAGGAACTCAAGCAGGTCCAGTTTGATTAAACTGCAAGAATAACCATGACCTGGATGACTGAGAATCTTCACAGACCAGTGCTGAGATGTTTGTTCTTTATCAGAGGAAGATTTCACTATATCGACTTAAAGCTGCTGTGATCGATTTTCTAGCCACCAAGATGAAGGTAAACAAGCTGAAACAACTTCATTGTAGAGCGTAATTACTTCCAAAACGGGTACTTATTAATATCACTGATCTATCATACAGACAGCTCTTGTTTTTATCTTTCCAACAGATCCCTCGACCCAAACATGGACGGTTAATAGTTACCGCAGCAACCAGTTCAGTGGGGCTGACGAACAGGACGCTCAGCATGGGCAGGTACTCGGTGGTCAGCTGGGTCACCCTGCGCAGACAGACATCACATCGACATGCAGCCACGAAACAGAACGACGACTGGGATTTCTCTGGCAGCAGAACTCACTCTTTGCCTTGTGCAGCATCCACCACAATCATGTTGCTGCTGTGGGTAACGCAGGCCAGCTGGTCTCCGCTGGGGGAGAAGGAGACGCTGTGCACCCAGCCACCGCAGTCCTTGTGCTCCAGCAGCACCTCTCCAAAAGGCATCTTGGCCCCCCAGGCGGTGGGTCCAGGCTTGTCCTCGATGTCCTTGATGTAGGCCGAGAAAACCCTGAGGAACCGTTGAGATCTGTTAGCGTGATCCAGCGTTTGGACTGAGGCCTAAATGTGGAGTTAGTGTGTTCTTCTTGTGCCTGCACGTGTTTTCTTTGGGTGTTGTGGCTTCCAAAGGGTTAATCTGTGAGGGTGCATGTGGTCGGTCTCTCTGTGACCTCAGACAGAAATACACATGACGTGTTAGCATCACTGCAGCCACATCAGTCAGTAGAGGCAGAACGTTTGTGAGGTTATAATCTATCAGCGGTGTTTTTCTTATGTTGATATCAGCGTTAGTAATTACTGGCATGAAAATCAGACACATAACATTGCATATATAGGACTAGCATTAATAATTAATTTTGCCGCAGTCAACAAATCCCATAAAAACGTTCAACTAACGATGAAACGTTGCTTTCCTTCCAGTAGCTCTTCAACTTGTTTCCTATTGAAGATGCAAGAAAAAGCTCTCAGTTTCATAGTAAAACAGAAAACAACTTGGTAATTTCCTAACACTGATGTTCACTGTAGTTTTTATCAAACATTGCTCAGACAGAGAGGTCAGGGGGATTAATTTTAACAGTGGATTCATTCACACTTCATCAGTATTTGGAGCAGCAAGAAGGTTTGTGTGTGATTGATGTCCAGTTAAACTGGGTTGTCTATGCAGTTTTACATGAAAGAAGACACACAGTGAGTGAAAACATGGCTGATCGTTTCCACGTTGAAGCTGCAGCGAACCAATGAAAGTCTCAACAACACACACGTATGGGTTTCTTATGTAAACACTTACAGAACAAATCCTGTCGACCTGCAGCTGGGTTTGGTTATTCTTCTGGTTCAAACACGTCTGACCTCCCTGAACCATGTTTTCTTCCCATAGTGAGCTGCTCATTCGGTTTTTCTCTATAATATGATGCATGTCTTCGCCGTACAACGTAAAGTGTGTCCTGATGCTTTTGTCATTCTGCACTGGTTATAAATACAACTGAGCTGCTGGAGGTTTACTGCCTCTACATCCCAGCGTTGGTCTGACCTGCAGTGAAGGTCTGCAGAGCCGGCGGCCAGCAGGATGTTGTTGGGATGCCAGTCCAGACTCAGGATGGTGGAGCGAATGGGCTTCTTGATGTGCTTACTCAGCCACCTGAGGGAAAAGCAGGAAAGCAAATGTTCTTAGTGAAAGTCTTCACAATCTGTGAATGAATTAAATGTTAAAAAAACAAATTCTGCCCTTCCAAACCACCATCATCAGGTCCTACATGTGGAAACAGAATAGTTCCTATTTAATGCCAAGTTGCTCACCAGTCGTTCTCCTTCTCAAAGTAGCAGACGGAGATGAGCCGAGCTCCGCTGCCCAGGGCGAACTTGTTCTCCAGAGGCGACCACT